GGTCCCTTTTCTCTGAAGATTCTTGTCACTTCTACTTCTCCAGTCAATCCCCCCTTTGATGCTGGGACCAGCCCAAAAACATTCCTCTCCATAGCTTCCATCTTCAGGAAGACAGAACTACCAGTAAGATGGGCAAGGATTCATCAGGTGTTCTGATATTGTCAAAAGATTCCAAATTCCAAGGTATCTTGTCTCAAATCTGGCAGAGATGTTTCAAGATCTAAGTCCACTTGGCTGAGGGCTAGAAAGTATTCTCATAACATGTATCTTTCCATTTCTCTAATTTTCACCCATAACGTTCTCAGTCATGCTTCCAAACTCATGCATACATTTTACTGCGCTTTTTTTTTTTCTTTTTGGTAAAGGGTTATCCTTCTACTTTTAAGTTATTCACTTCCCTCACCCATGGGCAACTTTTCAGTCAAGCCCAGGACCATAGTGACTCCTTGGTGTCTAGCCTCCTACCCCACATGGAGGCTAGCAAACTCCTCCCTCCCTCCCTCTGCCTTGCTCTATGGTTCTGCCTCACGGTTCTTCTATGAACAAGTGAGGGGAATACTTTGAGATAAACACTTAATTTGTATTTCATCTGGAGTTGTATGCAAGCTGGAGTCCAGTGGCCCAAGGGCCCACTGCAGCCTCGAATTCCTAGACTCAGGCGATTCTCCCACCTCAGTCTTTCCAGGAGCTAGGACGACAGGCACCTGCCACCATGCGTGGCTAATTTTTATTTTTTTGTAGCAATGGGGTCTTGCTATGTTGTCCAGGCTGGTCTCAAGTAATCCTCCTGCTTCAGCCTCCCAAAACTCTAGGATTACAAAAGTGAGCCACCATACCCAGCCCTTGTATTGCATCTTTACAGCTCAAAGACAAATCCACAGTTGTTGATGCATAAAGATTTATCCCTTTCTAGATGTTTAGGAACGTTTTGTCATCATGCATTGATTACCTACTATGTGCCAGATATTATACACATTTTATCCCATTTAATCCTCATGACAACCCTACAAAGAAGGGTTGCTCCCATGTTACAATTGAGAAAATAGACACAGAAGGGATGGAGCACTGGTCGCCCAAGACAGTAAGGGCACAGCACTTACTCTGGGTTCTGAGCCCTACCTTCTGTGCCTCCATACTCAGCAAACCCGACTTTTCTAATCAGTCATCTTCATTGTGCTACCAAGCCACCACTCAGATAGAAAGAATATGAAATCAAACAGCCTCCTCTAAATTCTTCTTGGAACTAGGAAGGAAGAGCACAGCTACTACCTACCTACCCCAACCTCACATTAGGACCCAGAGAAGTAGTCACCTCCCCCCAGAGCAGGAAGGCCCATCCTAAAAATTCTCATCACTTCTACTTCTCCAGTCAATTCTCCCTTTGATGCTGGGACCAGCCTGAAAGCATTTCTCTCCACAGCCTCCAACCTCAGCAAGACAGAACCACCAGCATGATGGTCAAGGATTCATCAGGTGTTCTGATATTGTTAAAAGATTCCAAATTCTAAGGTATCTTGTCTCAAATCTGGCAGACATCTGGCTCTAGTCCTAAAATGCTGAAGTTCTTTTCCGAGGGATTCCCCTGCACCCTTCCTCCTCACCCACAAAGCCCACTGAGAAAAAGAGTGAGGAGCAGGGAAAGAAGATGGAAAACCCAAGATAATCTCCTTACAGGATGATATAAAGTAGCTGTAGGCAGACAGTTCAAAGGAAGCCCCAAAGACAGCTAGGAGAGATGGAGACAGAAGGCAAGTACAGAAGAGTGGCCAGAGCACAGCACTCTCACAGGGGAGGAAATGCCACACAGCAGGGGCGCAGGTAGATGGTCTGATGTCGGAGGGGCTCCTAGGGATACTTACTATGTCCCACCCCACCTGAACAGTCACCGCCAAAACAACCTCCCCAATCCCGGGACACGTTCCCTCTGCCACACAGCTGCTAAGATCTAATGGTTACGGTCCCAGCAGTCCCCAGCATCTATTAAATACTGGGCTGGTCCTGGGGTCTCATCCACTCAGGCAGTCTCTAAGGCATGTCTCAGCTTTTCAATTATGCTAGAGATATGCCCATTAAATGCAGCATAGCCTGGACAGTGACTCCCTGGCATTCAGCCTTCACAGACCAAAAAAAAAAAACAAAAAATTCAGACAGGCACTGGTTACCATTTTGTACTTTACCAAGCAAAGACTTAAAAAAAAAAAAGTCTATTTTTTATCACACCTTCACTTCACAAAGCACATTTTAAGAAAGCGTATTTTAAACATCAAGAAGTAGAAAGGATCTATCCTCAGAAAAAGGTAGAAAGCTCTTTAATTCACAAAAAGTTAGCTTTATGAAAAAACTTATTCCACTGTCCCCTTTTGTTTCTCTAGAAACAGAGAACTCCACTGTGGGCCAGCACTGATCCACAGATCAGCATGTAGACCCTTTGTCCTTGGAGACCCAAGACCATCCAGCTTCACCTTACCTGACCCTGGGGCTTAGAGGGGCAGTTGGCCATGACAAGGTCCACAAGGACGCAGACACCTCTCAGCAGGGTTGTCTCTAAGCCTCAGCCACCCCAGATCCATATCTTAACCAAGACCACCCGGCAGCCTGGGCTGACAGCTTACCCACAGGATGACAAGGCCCTGGCCTCACTCCCAGCCCCTTTCACTCAGGTATGTTCTGTTGTTGCCAAAAGCAGCACTTCAACTCGGTTCACAAGAGCCACTGCTTCCAAGAACATCTAGCCCAGGAAGCTCAGCATCCTCACCCCTCCGGTTTGAGTATGGGAGGAACTGAGTGAGACAATGGGGGCTGGGGAAGAAAAGGAATGCTAGAAGGAAGGGCACAAAGGAATCAAGCTTTACAAAGTAGACTCAGCAGCTCCTCCTTACACCAAAGCACCAGCTCTTATGTCCAGAAGTAAAGCCTCCCCAGCTTCATAGCATCCTGCTTTCAGTAGTGACCCACAGAGCACTGGGCCAGCAGGATGGTAACTCCCCCCAACACCAGCAACAGAGAGGTCTCCCAGGCTGGGGCTGGTGGCTGCATATGTGATCCAGATGTCTGCTTTAACCAGAGACAGAGGAAACAGGACCCCGAGTCTGCAGTCCCTGGGTCAGGACATATAGCTTCCACAGGGTGCAGACAAGACAAGGTGAGAAGGGGCAGAAATATCCAGCAACCCCACCTCCCCATCCCCTGCACTTAAATCTTTCTTCCTGGCCATGAGACCACAGCCCCACCAGCTTGCCATGCAGCTCTGCACTAAGCTGTCAGGGAAACCCTGAGCAAGAGCTGCCAGCCCACTGCCAGCCTATCGCAGCCACAGGGGCTCTAGTCCTCAGAAGCAAGCAGCTTCCAGCCCAGCTGGAAGGAGCTTTGAAAGCCATCAAGTACAACTCCTCCACTTCCCCCAATGAAAAGACAGACCCAGAGAGGGGGCCTGAGTTGTCTGGGCCCTTAGAGCAAGGGGGAGCTTCAAGACAGCGCAGGCCTCTGTCTCTGTCCAGCGCCAGTTCCCCTGCCTGGAGTGACCTCAGCTGCTACACTGCTCCTCCTAAGCTGCTCAACCTCACCCGGCCCTACTTCTGCCAACTCTCTGCTGTCGCAGCTGTCACCAACCCCAAGCCGGCAGTCCGCCACTATAATGGAAGGGAAAGATGGCCAATGTAAGGTCACTGTCTCTCCCTTTTCTTCCCGCCTGCCTGCTCCCATCCCAAATCCTTCTTTCCTCCTCCACCCTGCCACCCCCAAATAAAGGGAGTACACCTCCCTGAGGTTGACAGTGTCTCAAAAGCATGTCATCCGTTCATGCAATTAGTATCTGAGTCCCTACTACAGGGACTCAGGTCTAACTGTGCCAGGTCCTGAGAACTCCAGGCACTAACTATGCCAGGTCCTGAGAACACAGAGATAAAGTTTTTGACCGAAAAAGTACTAAGATAGGGGAACCCAAACCATCAGTTTCTCATTAGATTCCCAAACAGTCTCAACTGGCTCTCTGGCCATCTGAGAAAAACGATGAAAGAAGCATCCCACCCCATCAGGGCAGCATAAAACCACCCTGTCAACCCAAAACTTTCTCTCGGAATCCATCAGCCTCCACCCCTTATCTTAAACCATCACTACCCAAGTCATCCAAGGATTAGCATGACCTTGAAATACATCTGAGGCTTCAAGCAGCAGGACCAGAAACTTCTAGAGATAAAGGTAGAATGCAAACATCAGAGATGAGAGTGCGAGCTCAGAGCCCCCTTCTTCCCAGTTACTCTCATACAAACTGTCAGCGCTGCAAAGGAGCCCAAACACGTCTGCTACACTCCTACTCAAAGTTGGACCAAGAGGATCAGAAATGGGAGAATGGGCTCAACTGGACAAGCCTTGCTTGAACAAGACCCCCGGGATCACCGTGCCCTCGAGGAAGGGACAGGGTAGCCTAACAAGGGCCGGCTTACCTCCTTGAGAAGCCCCACTTTTTTCTTCAGCACCTCACACTTTCGAAGTTTGCAGATCTGGTGCGTCCGGCGGTTGGTACAGCTAGTACAAGCCCCACAGTTTTCCAGCCGCCGGCAGGGCTCACAAGTACCACACCGTTTCCGTTTCTTCCGCCCATCTCCTCCCCCTCGGAGTTGGGACTCACTCCCAGCCATGGGGAGCCCAGGCCCCGGGAAGCCCCCTACCATCAACTGGCCCTGAGGGAAGTCATAAAGGCCTGGCAGGTCCGGCTGGACGGCCAGGGGCACCTGAAACTGACTCATGATGCTGCCAGAGGTGGGGGCATAGGTGCAGGGGCAGAACCACAATCCAGTTTCCTGCCACCTGCAAAGGCCACCAACAGGTCCTTCTTGCCTAGAACAGTCAAGAATCTATAAGGATGAAGGCAAGTGGCTTCAGTCTCTCAGATGGACGCCTCTTCTCAACCCCTCTTCACCTCCTCTGCAACAGTCTGATCGGGCTCCGTAGGGGGCTACTCTCCCACCTGCTGGGGCCCGGGATCTGGGGGAGGACACCAGCAGCAGCCTCCAGAAAAAGGATCATCTTGGCCTGGTGGGTTCTTCACCCTCACCCACCCTGGACCCAGGCATTAGGTGAGCAGGTGGGGGTGTGGTGGGTCAGAGCTGAGTGAGCAGTTTCTCCTGGTATTTTTCCTCTAGGGTCTGGACGCTGGAGAAGGCAGCGCTGCCTGAAAAAGACAGAAAGGGGAAGCGCATCATTCGGGGCCCAGGGACAACTTTCACGTGTCACTTCTTCCTGCTTCTGGGAAGAGAGAAAATGGGGGAAGAGATGGGGCTGCTCAAATGAGGTCCTGCCCAAAACCTCAGACAGGACGCACCCAGCACCCGCTCCCTGTCTGAGGGAGGCGGCCTCAGGTCTCAGGGTTGCTGGGGGCCCCGGACGAAGGATTCAAGGGGGTGGTCAAGGTGAGATTTCTAAGAAATTTGCTCTCTTCCCCACCCCCACGGGCTGGTGAGAGTTTCACCCAAATTCCCCCACACACCCTGGCTGGAGGCCGCCAGGCCCTCGAACAGGGAGCTGAGCTTTCAAAATAAAGTTTGTTGAGAGCCTCGCTCTGCGGGGCTGCCCCGGCGCCCCCGTCAAGGAAGTGGCCTGGAGGTGCGGGCGCGCCCGGGGCAGCCCGCGCCTGTCGCCCCGCCGCCTCGCCGCCCCGCCGCCCGAGCGCAGCCCGCCGGCCGGACTTGGGAGGGCGGCCCGCGCCGCCGAGAGGCTCGAGGAGGGGGGCGCGCTCGAGCCGCGGGCCGGGCCGCGCGCGCGCCGCCGCTCGGGCTCCTTTGTTCTGGGGCCTCCGCCAGTCGGCTCCGGCGGCTCCGCCGCCCCCGCTCCCGCCCTGCCGCCCCCGCCCCCGCCCCCGCCCAGCTCCGCCGCACAGCTCCCCTCAGCACCCCCGTCCGGCCCCCCACACCGGAGGAGCGGCCCCCGCCGGCTCCGGGCCGCCCCTTCCCCCGGGCCGGGCCGGGCCCCCCGCGCCTCCCGCCGCCCCTCCCCCACTCCGGAGCCGGAAAGGCACCGACTGCACCGACCTGCCCGCCGCCTCCGGGGCGGAGCGCACAAAGGGGCAAAGTTTCTCGGCCCGCACCGCCGCCGCCACCACCGTCGCGGCCGCCGCCGCCGCCGCCTGGGGCGCCCGCCTCCCGGAGCGCCTGGCCCGACCGAGCTCGGCGCGCGGAGCCCCCCACCCGGGCCGAGGAGGGGACGGCGCAGGAGGAAGGAAGAGGCAGCGGCGGCCGCGGCGGCGGCAGCAGCAGCAATGAAGGCGTCCGCGGGACTCCCCGCCCCCCGCGCACCGCGGCACGTGCTCGCCCGGGGACTCCCCCGCCCGGGAGGGCGCACACGTGCGGCCCCGCCGAGCCCCGCCGGGCCCCGGACCGGGCGAGGGTGGTGGTGGTTCTCGCTGAGGGGAGGGGTCGGGCGGGCGGCCCGCGAGCGGCTAGGGGCAGGCTCCGGCCGGGCCGCCGCTTCTCTGCACCTGCAGTGGCTCCCACCCCCGCGGTCGGCCCTCCCGGGACGCGGCCGCCCCCTTCGGGCTGGTCACTCTCGCCCTGTGGTGGGGCTGCAGCCAGAGCCCGCGAGGCGGGGTGGGGCACGCGGACCTCCCAGCCTAGGCCCTCGGCCGAGCTGCCCTCGGTGTCCCCACTTCCTGCCACTCCCTGTGGGCCCGAGCGGTCCGGGACGGCCCCGGCGCCCCCGGGAGGCCTGAGCGGCGGGCCCGACTGACCCCCCTGTCCCGGCTGCCGCTGGCTCATTCCGAGGCAGGACAATGGGGGACATCGCGCGTTTGCGTACCGAGTCAGCTTGGTCGGCAAGAAGGGGTTGCTTGGGGGCAGAGGCTAAGGGCACCCTTGCAGGGGGTCAGGGCCGAGTGCCCTGTCCAGGTGGACCCCACGGCCCTGCCATTGCGAGCCTGCCCCGCTCCGCGCTTGGCTCTTTCGCATCGAAAACAAAGACTAATCCGATACCCCCGCCCTGCCTCCCAGAGGCGGGGGAACGGGCGCGTTGCGGAGGGTAACTGAGGAGGACAGCGTTCAGGAGGGGCTCGGACAGCCTCTGAGGGGGCCGTGGCGCGACCGAGCCCTAAAACCTGGCTCAGACACTTTGGAGAAGGAGAAGGAACATCACCCTGGGCTATGTTCCAGGCAGGGGGTAAGGGGCAAGGCTCAGGAATATTTCCAAGTTGCCAAACTGCCCGTTCTCTCTGCTGCTTTTTTTCCCTCACCTGTTGTGCAGGCCAAGTTGAAATTCCAGGTTACATTAATTCAGCCCCACCCATCTGGCCTGACTGCCAGGCTGCTGCCTGCAACTGTCTTCCACCTACCTGGGTTGCAGGGGAGCAGGGTGGGTCTCTGACACACACTCACTCGTACACACACTTGGGCGAGTCCTGGCAGAAACAGCCACAGGACGGACTGGCCTGACCAGTTTGGGCGGTGCTCACGGAGCCAGGTACCTGGCAGGCGTCGCCGCCCGGCTGCAGCTAACAACTCAGCCAGAACTGGAAAAAGAGCATTCGGCCGGCTATTTAGAAAGAAAGAAAAAAAAGTAACTGATCTGAAGCAGCGCTGTCCAGAAAGCCCTAGGCGGTAAAACAGCCCGGGTTCTGTCTGGAATGTCCCTCTGATTTTGACAGCTTGCTGCAGGATCCAGGTTGTCAGCGAGGGGTGGATGGAGGTGGTCATGGCTGCAATATCCGCTTCCTACCACGGCCGTTGGGAGGATTGAAGAGTTTCTGTTCAGGGTAGTAAGACTAGAACCAAGACGAAATACATACCAAGAAGAGTGTAATTTTCAATCAGGGAAACAGGTTATAGACTCATAATTGTTTTTAATGTAATGTACTTTTGATGTTATAAGTAATTTAATAAAAAACGTGTATACAGAAAATGTGAAAAATACAGATATTGGAGGGAAAAAATACCAAATTAAACCATATTTAACCATTTGCTCTATTCCCTTGCAGCCTTTGCTATTTGTGGATTTACTCGCACTGATTTTGCAATTTGCCATCCTCTTAACTTTGTACCATAAGCATTTCCTTATTTGGCATACAGTCTTCAGAAAGTGTGGCAGTTAGGTGACAAAGGTGGCTCTGGAGCTAGAGAACTCTGGCTTCCAAACCTGAACCTGCCACTTGGTAACAGTGTGACCTTGGACTCGGTGCTCCATCTTCAAGGGAATCCAAGTAAAGGACTTAATATAGGGCTCAATGAATAACAGCAACTAATGTTGTTTAATCCATATGACAACCTTGTGAGGTAGGTAGTATCATCAAAGCCATTTTATGGATAAGAAAACAGATTAAGTAACTTGCCCAGGATCACTCAGCTAGTAAGTTGTGGACTTTCAGAAGAGCTCAGCAGCCGTCCTCTTGTTTTCTCTCTGGGTAAATGGCACCAGCAAGTTCCTGTGCCATTTACTCTTCTCCAGCAATGTATGAGAGGGTCATTTCATAAAGCCCTCTCGTTTAGGTAACTGGGTGAATGCTGGTGCCATTCACTGTGACAAAATGCACAAGGAAGGATGCCTGGGGATGGGGACATCCTGTGGAGGTGAGTGTGCAGCTGAGGGGCCATGGCCTGGGTTTGAAACAGATTTGGGCCCCATCAGTGAGGCCTCAGGAGTGGAGGAGCTCATTGGCGGTAAAAGTGGAGAGCGCCCCAGGGAACACCAGCCATGATGGACAGGAGCTGAGAAGGGGCCACCAGAAAGGTTGGAGGGAACCTGGCCGGGCTGGAGAGCTGGCTGTCAAACCATCCCAGCCTCTGGAACCTTACACTTTGGCAGTCTTGTTGCTCATTCCTCAGCTACCCCTTGTATCTGCCAAATTCCCATTCATCCTGCAAGTCCTAAGTGCTTGTTCTTCCATGAAACCTCCAGCCGCTCAGACAGTTCCAGAGCCCCACCCACCCTCCCTCCACAGAAATTTGACTCACCTTGCTTAGGAAGAGTTATCTCATCAGCACTGGGCACTGTAATGGTTTACATGTTTCTGTCCCAGTTCCTACAACCTCTGGAGGGCTAGCACGCTCTTTTCACCTTGTAACCCTGGAACTAGCACGCAACCACTGTGTTGAAGGATGACACGAGGTGAGTAGAGCCTGATCAATGAGAGACCCCAATAACACTGAAGACCCATAGGATTCTTTCCTGCCTGCTTCATGACTTGCACAAACCGGTCAGGTATGCCCAAGATACAACAGTCTACACTCCTCAGGTCCTGCCTTCCAGTTCTCCTGCCTCCTGGGCTGCTGCGGCTATTCCCTATTCACACTGTGCCCAGGGCAGGAGAGCAGCGGGGGTGGGCGTGGGGATGGGATGAGCCTCTCCCTCCTGGGCTCTATTAGCCTACACGCAGTGGTTTCGAGAAGGGAGCCCCGGCACCAGCAGCATCACCATCTCCTGGGAACTAGCTAGAAATGCAAGCTCTTGGCCCCATCCTAACCCCACTGAATCAGAAACTCTGGGGGCAGGTCCAGCAATCTGTTTTAATTAGCCCCTCAGGTGATGTCAAGTTAGAGAAGCACTGGACTACAGCAAGCCGGGGAGAAGCAAGTTCAGCACCTAAGCAGAGACTGCGATTAGGCCCCAAGGCGCTTAGAATAGACAGAGGGAGAGAGGCTCCTTTTAGGAGCAAGTTGGGCAGGCGCCACCCCAAGCGGCTGAGGGTGGAGCCTTTTTTAGGCGATTGTTCCTGCGAGGTCAGAGCTAGGCTGTGCCGCTGCCCCAAGGGCTGGAAAGGGAAATCTTGCTAGAGGAGGAAGCCCTACGAACTCAAGGGATTATAGGGATGTCAGGGGCATTTCCCTGGATGCCTGGAGCATGGAAGGAAGACTGCAAAACAGGGAGGCTTTCCTACCCCATTGATGAACTGAAGTGGATTCCTCATGGGGAAGGAAAGGGACAGGAAGCATAACTGGATGTGCAAGCCTGTGGCTCTTCAGGAAGTTAACACGTGGAACTAACACCGTTGGATGCTGCTGAACTCCGATGATTGATGTGACTAGCCGCCTCTGAGGTACTTGACCTCTCTCCTCTTCAGCTAATAAGTAATTTGTCCTTATTTAAGAATGAGATTTGTGTAGGGGACCTTCTGTAGAAATGTAAAGACATATCGACATCCATACCTGGGCTTAGTTTTAAAGACTGAAGGCATTGGGAGGTTTATTTGATTTGGGACGTGTTATTTCTTTGGTCATGTATTGGCTAAAAATTTTATCGACTAATATTTACACAGAGCTTTCCCTTTTCAAAGCACTTCCACACACATTATCCTGTCAGCACAGAGTGGTGAATACAACAAATGTGCAAATGTTAACTTTCCTTATCTATGACACAGTTTTTAGTATTATCACCACTTTACAGATAAGAGAACTGGGGCTCAGAGGGTTAATTTGTCCAAGGTCAGTCACTACTATGTGGCAGAATCAGGCCTACTATCCAGGGCTTCTGAAATTAGCCCACTAATGCTAGAGCTGATACCAGGCAGAAGCCAGCATTTTGCTCTCGGGGAAAGGGAGACTCATTAGTAGGTTGCTTGTGGACCCGCGTTGGTGAGTGTGACATGTGTAGGATATCTATACTATGATTTTTTGTTTTTGTTTTGTTTTGGGGTTTTTGGTTTTTTTTTGAGACGGAGCCTCACTCTATCTATCGTCCAGGCGGGAGTGCTGTGACGCTATCTCGGTGCGCTGCAACCTCCACCGCCCAGGTTTAAGCAATTCTCCTGCCTCAGCCACCCTAGTAACTGAGATTACAGGCACGTGCCACCGCACCCGGCTAATTTTTGTAGTTTTAATAGAGATGGGGTTTCACTATCTTGGCCAGATTGGTCTCAAACTCCTGACCTCATGATCCACCTGCCTCAGCCTCCCAAAGTGCTGGGATTACAGGCCTGAGCCACAACACCTGGCTACTATGTTTTTAAATAGCCCCGCAAATGTCCTCATGTTTTATAACTAGTTTTGTGACTGCATTTTGAATTTAGGTTGAATCAAATAGGCTGCATTACTTGCAAGGGGAATGCAACGGTGCCCATCATAATTGAAAGAATACCAACAGGGATAAAGGCCTTGGTGCCCCTGAGCCTTGGTTGACAGGGTGTGTCAGTCAGGATCAGTTAGGTTGTGCTAGAGTAACAGAAAATCCCCAAATCTCAGTGGCTTAATGTAACAAAAGTGTATTTCTCAATGACAAAACATGTCCATTATGGGTCATTAGGAGCTCTTTCCCATAGTCGCTCAGGCATGCAGACTGCTGCAACTGGACATGCATCTTAACCCTGAAGGCAGGAAACAAGAATGGGGCAAATCTAGCTCTGGCTCTTAAAGCTTTTACCTGGAAGTGACACACATCACTTCTGCTCTCATCTCACTGGCCGAAGAAAGTTACAAGAGGGCAGGAAAGTGCAATAAGGTCAATCCTGCTATCTGCAGGAAGGATAAACGGAAGTATTTGGTTAACAGCACTAATAACAGATAGGGAGTGTGTGTGTGTGTGTGTGTGTGTGTGTGTGTTAAATGTATATGTGTATATTTGAATGCCATTTCCAGGGCATTCCTCCCTCCTGGCGACGCATATTAGAGATTCCTACTGTAAAGGATTGCCATTCCTTGCACTAGAGCAGGTTCAAAGATTTAGACTAGAGTAAAAAAAATTGGAGTTAAAGGAAGCATGGTAGAAGAGGTGAGTGGCTGTGGGCCAAACTCAGTAAAACTCATTTGTAAACAGGGAAAGAAATCCAGTAAAGGAAGGTACTCAGGGTATATGTGACACAAGGAGCCTGCCTGCTAAAGGAAACTCCTAAAACAGCATAACTTTAACAGAGGCGTTTCCTGCCTTCTTGCCATTAACGCCCACTCATCCTTCCTGGTTAAGCTCAGGTGACACTTCAGGAAGCCTTTGATGGTCTCTTGAGATTGGGTAAGGGGCCCACCAATCACATCACAGGCATGCCTGGGTCTGTCCCATCCCCTCAGCTGTGGACAGGGACCACATCTTATACTGGCTGCTATATAGAGAGTGTATTAGAGGAGGGTGTCAGAATAGAGGCAGAGAGAGCAGCTAGAAGTCGTTGCAGAAACCTAAGTGAGAAAACAAAATGATGGTCTACATTAGGGTAATGGTGGTGGGGAGGGAGATTTACCAAGTCAAACCCACAGGACAAGGGCATAGGAAGGGAGGTTTCTGGAAGAACAACAGGGTAGATGGTAGTGCCAAGGAGCGCAGAGAAGGTGGAATGTTGGTGAATTAGGTCAGCAAGAACACATCCCATTTGAGGTCCGTTTTGACAATGGCCACAAAGAGACCCAGCAGCAGCCTCTGTCAGAGCCTGAGATTCTGGTGGGGAAAACCAGGTCCTATGATCTGCCTCTTGATTAAACTCCAACATTAAATCAAGGTTAGTATTTTCTTGTTTAAAAAAAAATATCAGGCCGGGCTTGGTGGCTCACACCTGTAATCCCAGCACTTTGAGAGGCCAAGGCAGTCGAATCAATTTAGCTCAGGAGTTCAAAACCAGCTTGGGCAACATAGTGAGAACTCAACTTTACAAAAAAATTAGCCAGGTACAGCTGTACACACACTGAGGTGGGAGGATCACTTGAGCCCAGGGGGTTGAGGCTTCAGTGAGCCAAAATTGCGCCATTTCACTCCAGCCTGGGCAACAGAATGAGACCCTGTTTCAAAAAAAAAAAAAAAAAAAGACACCAAAAATATGTATGTATTCTGAGGGGAACCACAGAAAATACATATGGTATAAAAGTGAAATTCCTGAACTACAAATCATAGAAACCCATTTAGAACAGTGTTTTATAGAAGGAGCTGAGCATCCCTAAAAGATTGGTTCAATTTCAGTTGGCTTGTCCCATGATCTTGTTTCCATGTGTTGCTTCTGTCCCATCTCCTGCTCAGCAGGCGCCTGCTTGTCCCATTGAGACTTGAACATGGTATCAACCCCTTTCATCTTCGAGGCTTCCCTTCCCCATATCCTTTTGTGGGTGAGGACTGAGCCCTGTTTGTAGGTACTTCACAGTGCCAGGGCACCCATCCTCAGAGACCCTGTTCTTTCCACTTGGACGTTGTGCTTCCCTGTCCCCCACAACGTGTACCCCCTTTCCCATGCATTGAGATGCTCCCACTGGCTCCTTGAGTTCCATTTTCAGCTCCTCCGTGTACTAGTTTGTGACTGTATGTGAGGTAATTTCCCCTTTCTGGCCTCCTTCCAATCTCTAAAGATGGGACTCATGATACTTCCTATGCAGACTCCTTTGCAGAGGACTAAATGAGCCAACCTATGGCAAAGTCCTGCCTCAGACCTTGGTGGACAGTAGGCACTCAGCTGTCCTATCCTTTCATTTCCATTCAGTCCCCTGATTCTTCCTCCCACTTATCAGAGAAATGGTCTTACAACAGTCTTACCATATGTAACCATGACAACCAGAGTTAAACTATATACAATAATCAATTCAGATGTTATGTACTACAGAAGATAATTGGCTATAATGGCATCCAGGTGCCCAGGATGAGGCTTGACATTAAGTAGGAGCCCCTATCCAGCCTCCCCAGGTGGAGACAATTTGCCAAGTGCCTCCCTCGTTCTCTCTCTCCCTCCATATTCAATCAACGCTAGGTCCTACCACCTCCAGGCTAAACTGTCCTGACCTGGTGCCCTTTCTCAGGCTTCATGCTCTCCCCTCTTCAGCCTGCCTCCCTTCCTCTTACTTCGTGGTCTTTCTCTCTCACAGACACAGATTTCGTTGCCGTTGATTCAGACCTCTTGGGCATAGGCAGGCAGGGTCCTGGAATTAAGATCATGAGGTGCCTGGGTGGGCCATCCTCTAGCAGGTCAGGAATAAAAGTTTCAAACTCCTGCTACTCAAAGTG